ATTGACTTACCTCTGTCTTTCGCTTTTGGCTCAACATATCTATGTGAACAAATCTTTTTCCGTATGAAATATATCGAGTCCGCAAAGAAGTTGTTCAACAGCTGAATGTTCAGATTCGTGTCGAATTGAAAGCCATAAATTATACCCCAGATATTGCCAAATGAAGTAGAACGGTGCAGGGGCTAGGTTAAATTTAAAATATATATTTTTTTAACTATATTGAAGAGGAATGTTTATATTTTATTTTATTATTTTTTGTTTTTTAATAAATATTTAAAAGGTACATAATGCATAATCTATGCACAATTCTAATTTTTCACGAAAGTTCAAGAAATTGTTAAATTTTATGTAAATAAATATCCTTAAATAATGCATAATAAAAACACAATAAAACTCTGAAATTTATTTTTGACCTCTATTCCCGAACTCTGCATGCATTATTGAGGGAATCGAATTGTTTCAAATATTTCTTACACCGGGGCACCCCAAATCATATTTGTAGTTTGTTTTGGAACGCCACAGCTACAAGGTTACCGACCTCCTGCTTTGCAATATTCCTTTTCTACACGATATGGTCATAGTATCCAAAGGGTATCAACACGGAGCCGGTGTGTCATGAGTTTGAGCCTTGTGCTACGGAAGTTCCACCATAGGGAAGGGCTGATACACGTTACCACTGTCGAGGCTCACTGCCCTTCCGTTGACGTAGTGGGGAAGTTCAGAGGGGAGGATGCCAAGTCAGGTGCCTTCCCAGTCAATTCAAAATTACGAGAAGTCCTTAAAATACACTCACTCACTCATCTACACGATAAAGTAGATTCCCGAAACTTAATTTTAAGTGAATTGAAAATTAAACAAAGAAAAAAAAACTGTGTGTCGGCTCCGACGCATGACTGGAGTTTATACCTTAAGCACGGTTGTATTTGATTATATAGTAGACAAACAGGGTAAATAAACGGATCTCATAATTCTGAAAGCATGCGTGTATTTTCTTTAATCTATTCCCATTTTTCATAATGCTTCGGTAAAATAATATACATTAATTATGTTACATGAATATGTTACTCATAGTCCATAAGTACATTGTTAAGAAGGTTGATTTAATCCACTATTAATATCACTTTGAGTATTAATTACATAAAAACTTTCACCGTTATTAATCACTTTGATAAGAGGCTTGTAGTAACTAAGGTATGATACGTGAACGTCGGTAGATTTACGAATCGTGAAAACATCGCATCAATGGTTGTACCATACCTAGTCGTCCCAGTGCTCTACCAGAAAAAAAATCAAAATTATGCTCTGATTTTAATTGTATTAATCTCAGTCCTTCACCTATATCAAAGTTTGTATTGAAATTACCAAGTATGAGTGGTAGTACATGATGATGTTTCTTCAGTAGTTTAGAACCACCTTCTGTATATGCTTAAGTTCACATTCCTTATTATATATATATATATAACAATAAATGCTCTTAGAACTTAAAATAATAAAATTGATTTCAAATCTTCATTATTTACATTGACCATATAAGAAAAACATTTAAAATTAAAGAAACGCTTCAACATTTGGTACTTTCCATTGTTTCTTTCGATTGTTTTCAAAAATTTATTTTTGTTTCTATAATGAAACAAAAATAAATTTTTCACTCGCCAAATTTGGGTGACTTTCATTTGTTATAATCAACAGCCTCTTCTTGTGTAACTCAGCAGCAGATGTGATTTTGACTGCCAAGTAAAGGTGGACCGGAGTATAAGTCATTACTCGCGAGAAAGTCGTTTAGCTCAAAAACCGCTTTTCTATGCCAATGACATCAGAATACGAACGATAGTAAACGTAATTTGTGAATTTTTCTTAAAGTTTTAATTTTTTGAGGGCTTAATTTTCAAGTTATACTTTTTAATTTTCACACATCGATAACAAACAATGGTAATTTTTAAACAAAAAAAAGGGGGGGGGGAGTACTGTGTAAGAATTCTTGTAAAAAGGGTATTACATGAAACACAATATTTTTTTAAATCCGTAATTTTTAAGGAATTATTTCAATCTTTGGACAAAACAAGGATAATAATGCTTGACAAACAGAAAAAAAAGTTTCATGTGATTATTTTTGTTGTAAATGACGAAGTTATTACACGTTTAATTTGAATTTTGAGAATGTTTTGAAAAATCGTATAAGAAGTTTTTAGTATTTTATTTTTTAAATTATTGATTCTAAAAGACCAAAGTAGGGACCTTTTTAGTATAGAATATCTATTCATTACAATGATAAGAAGTTCGTACAGAATGATTGAAAAATTATTTTCATAAAAACGCATCAATATTGACTCATTTTAGAAAAAATCGTAAAAAAAATTGAAAATATCGTTATTTTGTAAAAAAAAAAAAAAAAAAAAAAAAAGTATCGTGGTGATAAAAATGATTTTTCCCGATTCTGTAATTATTTTTTGTCTGATTTCGGTAAGAAAAGAACGATCGCAATTTTAAAAACGAGGAAAAGTAGAAATTCTTCATTCTTTCTTCGGATAGAAATTTAGCACATTCGCAGAAGCGCGCGTAACGGTTTTTTTCTTAAAATTTTTATTCTCATAATATCTTCATACCAGAGGTTTTTAATGAAAATCAATTCTTAAGGAGAAATCTCTCAAAAACTTTTTGCATATCTTAGCTGAACAAATAACCATATTTGTTAAATTTTAAGTCTGTAACAGCTGATAACAAGGATTTTTTTTAAAATTTATAATGCCCCGTAACACTTTTGTGGGTAAATTTTTGAAAACACCTTCCTAAGTTAATCTCTACTCAGCAAAAGTAACACAGTGTTACAAATTTTGTGTAATGAACGCTTAAAATAGTATAAATAATTTATATCTGGATGTGTAATGCGTTAATATTACTTTCTGTTGTATTTATTTTATGTTAAAATTGTAATATTCACAAGCAATGCCGTTTCTTACATTATAATGGATGAAATTCGATGGAAACATAGCGAATATTGGTGAAAGAGCCAAGTTGTCATCCTTTTGGGTGACCATGTTGGCATCTTGGCAATTGATTGAACGGGGCAGAAGTCGATATGCTGTAGTGCCACCTGGTGTGGAGTTGCAACAAAAGGGATAACACAGAAATCTTCCCCAGAAGAAATAAATACATATATATGCCAATTTTCAGAGTGATCGGTTGAATGGTTTTGGATTGAAGCGAGGTCATGTATACAAACATCCATTTTTATATATAGAGATGAAAATAAATGAATACATAGTATACAATAATTTACCTGATAAAAATTAAGTAGCTAACTTTGCAAAAGCTGGCTGCTTTTTTTAAAAAAAAGAAATGCACTGTTTCCATAACGGGTATGCACTTGGAATTATTTCAACGTGTAAGAGTGTTGTCGAGTTCTCGGGACTCTACTACGGGCAAATGTCAGTCCATCATCATCATTTTAGTCCTGTCATCTGGTGATAAACTTATTAATTTCTTTTCTTCCAAAAAGAAACAAAAATTAATGAAACATGCAAAATTTCATAACTACTTATAAAATCTTCGTCTTCGAATCTACACGAGAGTTGTTGGCTGCAGATTTCGTTGTGGCCTTGGTATTCGAGTGGTTTAAGTCGCGAACTCGTGCTCCAGTGAGTCGTGAGTTCAAGTCCTAATGCCGATGAATACCCACTGTGTAGAGACTGATGAAAGTTAAATCTGTCGTGGTTTAATGTCCTAACGCTGGCGTGACGTGGAAGATTGGACAGAAGGGTGCCAGTTCAGGTGTCGTCCGTGTCACTTGACAGAGGGGCAAAATTACGAGGTCCGTTGCTAATAATTTTTGAATTGCCTTAGATTGCAACAATAATAAAAAAAAATCGAATAAAAAATCGGATAGACCTCGTAGTTTTTTGAATCCCGTAAAGGGACAAATTGATAAATTATTTTCCGTATTTCTACACCCCACCAACGCGAGCACTTTGAGCCTAGATTGATTTAATAGTTTTTCCAGAAGGGACGTCTTTATCAGCAACAGTAATCAAACTTACGACTTGTAAATGGTTGCCTTTGAAAGAAGATTTCTTCCCACATTAACATAGTATTAATGAAAAGATTTGGTTTGGTTCAATTTCATGAAAGTGGGAAAAAATTGTCTATTAAAAATTAGTAAAAGTTCTGACAACAATTACAGCCCTCAAAATACTATCATGCGTGAATCTATATCTCCTCATGAAGAACAGAGGTTGAGGATTTTACAATATCATAAAATTTACTAGAAAGTCGTGCAAAGGCCTAACATTGTTTTGATTTGCAAAAATATTTAAAATGGATTTTAATTAATTTTAATTAGCAATATTTTTGTGTATATAAATATCTAAGCTGTTTTGTTAAGGAAAAAATAATTATTTTTTGAACTGAATACCTTTAATTAACATTTAGCAAAGACTGGGCAAAAGGATTTATAAAGTTCTCTAATTCCTGAAATAATTATTTGGGATAATTGCAAATGCCAGACGCAATTATTTCACAATCTCGGCCAACAAACTGAAGACGCGACTTGAGCATTTCGTTTTTCACCATGGTAGCTTACACAACCCAAATCTTTGTTGCGTTTTCCGGTTTGCTGGAGATACTCCCGTTTACACGTAAGAGATTTTATATACAAACCAATTTGTAACAGGTAAGTCTGCGGTAGCGTGCAGACCATCCATCAAAATAATAATTAATATAAATAAATTAAAAGTCAATTTCTACTTAGTTCAATAAAGAAATTTTTTTATTTTAGTTCCTTTTTGTTAAATAGTTACAATTAATATAAATATGTACATACATATGAGACAGAATCACACTATTAAGTGGCAAAATAGAAAGCGATTTTCCTTGCAATTTCCCATTTTCCTTTCTGTATATGTTGGACTGTTTTGTTTGTTTAGAACTATTTATTTATTAATTAAGTTTAATCATTCTAATAAAATAGTATAGTAAAAAAGGAATCACATCTTCAGAAACTAGGCCATCCCAGGTGAGATTCGAACCTTTGGATTACAAGTTCAACGCGCTAGCCATTACGCTACAGGCACACAACGAAAAATTTTCCTTTCTATATCTTCTGTTGAACTATTAATTTTGTTTGTTACTGTTTATTTATTTTTTAAATTTAATTAATGAATTAATATTTGAAAAAACTGTGCTTTAACATCAAGTGTCATCCACTACAAGTTTAAAATAATGTATTTGAACTTGAATGGATTAATAGAAAGTATTTTATTAACGTTTGAAAATTAGAACAAAACAAAATATATATATATATATTTTCTGACTCTAGATATTTTATTCTATCTTTCCTCTACTTGGTAGTTCCTTTTAAATACTATCGTATGTGTTTGAAAAATTTGAAAAAAATTCTAAAATGTTTTCTTTAAAATTTTTGAAAATAGTCATATATATAAAATTTTTAAATGAAATTTTATTTTTGTGAATACAATTGAAACTAAAATTTAATTGGGGATTTGGAAAGATTTAAAAGAAAGGATTTTTTGAACTTAGTTGGACACCTTAAATATCTATTTCAAACTCCTATGTTGTCAATTTTTTTGAAACCTTGCGTGGAGGAGGAGAAGGGTGGGGAGAGAGTTTTTGATTTTTTAATCGGGACCAGAAATACGTCTTCCTTATCTCGATTCAAACCTACCTCCTACATTTAAGATTAAATAAGACTCCTTTTTTAAATGTGAAAATAACTATAAAACCCCGTTAAAAGTGGACTTCCTTATTTATTTTGAATTAATATATAATTATATCTTAAGAGACACTTGAAACCTCTCCGGACAGTTAGACCTAACATATTTACCTACACCCTTTTACACTGAATAGCAAGAATTATTATATAATTCTTGCTATTCACTTTTAAAGGAACAAGAATAATGAGAAGGGTATTTAGTGAAATAGGTCGAATTTTGATTTCGAATGACACAAACAAACTGAATATTTCGACTTCAGAATTAATTTGTTCATTAACGTTTTAGTAATCCCTAACCTTTGCAATGCTCTTTAAGATCTCCAGAGCAATCTCTCTCGGAGTGGTAACCTAGTGGTCAAGGTAACGGACTCGTGGCTGGCGTGCCATGAGTTCAAGCCTAGTGCCGCTGAAGACCCGCGGTGTAGGGGAGCGATGCAGACTAAATCTATCGAAGCTCAAACGTCCTCCCGTTGGTGTAGTTTGGAAGTTGGAAGAGTTCAGGTGTCTTCGTCATTTTGAGCCTCGGTCGATTGACGAGAACAACACCTAACATCCCCTCTCGGAATTACTACATCACGCTAGCAGGAGGACTTTGGGCTCTACAGATTTAACGTGCATCAGTCCCCTCTTCACGGCATGTCTTTAGTGGCACCAGGACTCGAGTCTGCGACACGCCGACCACCAGTTTGTGACCATAATCACTAGACACCTATGTGGCAACAATCCTGATTGTAAATTTTATCGCTGGAAACTTAAATTTGACATTATACTGCGATAAAAAACATCTCTTTTCAAAGTATAAGAAATTAGCTAAGAAAGGGAAATATTTATTTAAAAAAAATGTTTCTATGAACGAATCTTTTTCTGTATATATAAAAAAAAAATGTTATTTAAAAAATTAGAACAAAATTATTTTTTGTGAAAACTGTGTCTAAAACTACAATTGCTTAGGTTCTATCAGGTTTCTTAAAGCAAAAAATCTACGAATTCTGATTGGGTGAAGGAATTTCCTTCGAATTTTTAAACAGCAAGATAGTATTGAATTTTTATATGAGTTAGACGGTGGGAAAATATCCGTTCATATCCAGATGAATCCATTCATAACCGTTCACGATTTCAATCCATGTGTTTCAGATATTTCGATCGCGAACGGTATCTGTCCACGTTATTGGCTGTTCGTGACTTCTGAATCGATTCTCTATCGACGTCATTTTTCTAATGATATCTAGATAGTGTCATCGGCTGGTCGAGCTCCATGATGACGTCAATGAAAGAAACATCCAATTAAATCAGGACATCTGAGCGGATGTCACTGATCCTTGCTTTGTCCGCCCTCGAAAGATTCGGTTCACAAATGATACCTTAACTAAATCATTGGTAAGGGATTTTAGCTGCTGTTTCTGGATTCCAAAAAAAAAAAAAAAATACATATTTTTCATGAAAGAAAATAAATATTGCATATTAAGCGAAAAGAAAAAGGGGGAATGTTTTATTTTCTCGAAACAGTTTTTCAGAATATTTCGTGCAAAATCCTATTTTCATGCATCAATCAGAAAAAATCATTTTCATGGTTCATTAACTGTGGAACACAAGTACGGAGAAAACGCTTCGGACTTTTTTGAAAGTATGCTAAACACTTACTGCAAAAAATAATAAGCGAAACGATTTTCGAAATGTCTCAAGAGATATAAAGCGTCATTTTTTTTAAAAAAAAAATACTGTTTCACAAAACAAAAGACTGGTTTTTTGTTTTGAAATATTTATTCTTCAATTTCAACGTCAGAATTTTTTTAAACAAAATTTGCTGAATATAGCCTTTAAAATAAAATAACTTATGTTACACTTTTTAGAGTGCAATAAATTCTTAAATTACAAAGCGTTGAAAGAATTTTTTGTTATAATTACAAAAACACACTGCTGTCCATTAAAATTTCAAAATCATGAAAGAAACCAAAGGTAAAAAACATTTATTGTTCATGAACAGTATAGCATGGAGACAAAAGGATTAAATTTGAAAGCAATTTGAGGCTTTACTTGGGGGCGAAATTAGCACAAACAGCTGCCACGCCTGGCTGCTGAAACGGATTTTACCCATTTAGGCATGGAGTCGAACTAGTCTTGAATGACAGAAACGATCAACTCATTCCATGCCGCTTCAAGTTTATGCCACACTTCATCAACCTTATGGTGGCGGGGCAGACTCTCAGCAACTTAATACCAGATGTTTTCAATGAGAGGCAGATCTGAAGACCGTGTAGGCCAGGGTAACAATCGAATACCTTGTGTATCGAGGAAGGTCAAAACACGACGTGCAACATTTGATATTTCATTATTTTGTTGGCAGAGGGCGTTTGGGGAGTTTAGGGTGATAGGGTACAGCCAGTGGACGCAAGATGTCAGAAATGTACCGATCTTTGTTCAAATTACATCAATCCGAACTGGAGATGTGCGTGTCGTTCACCCAATGGTTTCCCAAACCATCCCAACAGGAGCAGGTCCCCTATGCCAACATCGGAGGCAAGCAGGTCACCAGAGGTCTTTTCGGAACCTCCAGACACGTATATGGCCATCAGAATGCAGCACGCAGAACAGGGAAAAGATGACATACTGCCATTCCTGCATCCAGTTTTGTTGTTCGGTGCACCAGATTCGCCGTCTCTCTCTATGCCGTATTGTCATGGTCGCCGTGCTGACAGTCCACGCTGCTGCAAACGTTGTCGCATCGTACGAACGGATACTGGGCGTTCAGCAAACATGTCAATTTTTTATTAATGGTCCATGTTGTAGTTGCATGGTTTTTGCAGGGGGGGGGGCAGTGTATTTTAATATACTTAAAAGAACAGGTATATTCCATTAATAAAATTTTCTGTTCAAATAATATTTTTCCACAATTCAGAGAAAGACATAGGTGTATTCGAAAATGTTTGTCAGACATTTTATAAATATCGATGGCATATATATTTTATAAATATTCATAGCATATATGTAGGCTATGTGCTGTACAGTTATTAATAAGCAATGAATGATTTTTTTAAAAAAATATTTGAAAGCAAATGTATTTTTGCGTATTTAGTTTTAAAGATACTGTTTCTGTTAAAATCAAAAATAATATGTTCTCTTCGAAGGGAAATATTTTTCTTGTATGTGGGTTTTTTCTTTTTTTTCAAAGACTTGTGGAATTATGTAATTAAGTTCTGAGATAGTTGCTGAATAATGTAACTTTATATCTTCAATGAATCATAAGATTCTAATGAAGCGATACCGATTTTTTTTCTGGATATAATAATTAAATGAATAATTGGAAGAGAGAATAGTGTGAGCTCGTATTTTGAACAATAATTAAGGTATCCGACTATATTCGGTTTTTCAAAAATTGATTTTCAGAAGAATTTTATTATTTTGAAGAACTTAATTAGGTTTAGAGAGTCATAATTATCAAATAAATAACATGTATCACCCCTTGCTTTTGAAAAAATATCATTTCCATAAAATTTTAGCAAAATTTCCGATGTTAAGAAAAACAGCATAAGTAAAAATACGTTAGACGTAATGTAATTTTAATTTCACTGATATACATCTTGATCCATGCGTGAAGTGTCATTAACCACAGGATAAAAATGTTTTTTAAGAAATGAATATTTAATAAACATTCAAATTTGAAGTCAATGAATTTTCGTCAAAATGACTTTGTTCTAAACTTAAAAAAGGCTGTAAAAACTTATGGTTTGTTTCTCTAAAGAGCTTATTGCCTAAATGTTACACATTTTATTAGATTGTTTTGTAGATACTTCATTTTTCAAACACATATTATCGTGACAATTTCCTTCTGCAAAAAACGCATTTAAAAATATTTTTATAAGTTAGATAAAATAATTATTAGAAAAACAACTTAAGATTCTCTAGTGTTGTCTTTGTGAGCAGTAAATATTAAATATGTTTACCAGGAATTAACGTGCGATTCTTTAAAAGCTGAAACTGTCAATTTATATTTATTTTGAAAGCAATAGTTTATTGTGAATTACTTCGTATCATCAAAACCCCTACCTGTCTTTACAACAGGTAAGCTAAAACTTTTATTCCACTCTTTTAAATGAAGAAGAAATTCACGGTTGCGTTTCAATTCCAATAATATCCTATCTACGAATAAAATATATATTACACATTTAAATATATTTGTAGCAATAGCTATTTCAGATTCACGTGTAAGAAATTGGGGCCTTAGAAAAAACTTAAATTATCAAATATATTCTATTAGTAATAGAATATATTTAAAAATTAACTCTTGTTTTCACCATGTATTATGTACACTTATCTCTCTAGAGTGGGAGGGGCGGTATCAAA